ATTACGCCCCTTCAAGAGGCCTTTGGGCCTGTTAGGGGTGCCTTCTGGGGAAGATCTGGGGAATCCTCAGGAGACAGGGGAGGGGGTTTGGAAGGTTGCAACAAGATTTCCATTCCAGAGTTGGGGTAGAATCTATGAATTAGATCTTGAGGAACAGAGGGAGAGGTGAAGATCTGCAGTCAGCCTACCTGGTTTCCTGGCAGGAGTGGCCTGTGGGTTAGCAGAGAGAGTGCAAACTCATTTTCTGAAGAAACAATAGCAATAGCAATAACAAGTGACATCATCTCTGAACTGCCATGAGATGGGTAGGGTCTTAGGGTTAGGGAGACATTTTTTATTTTTTTATTACTTTAAAAATAATACCAATCAAAATTCTGACTTCCTGCCCTCCTTCCACTTCCCTCCTACTACCCCCACACCCTGCCCCAACTCTTGTTCTAAGATAGGGCAAGGCACCTGCCCTGTGAGAAGTATAAAGCCCTCCCCACAACATCCAGACTGAACAAGGTATGCATCCAAAGAGAATAGGATTCCAACAAGCAGTAAAGACAAATCCCAGTGTCATTGTCATTGTCATTGGACCCTCAGTCTTCCCCAACTGTCAACCACATTCAGAGGGATCAGTTTGATCCCATGCTCATTCATTCCCAGTCCAGCTGGAGTTGGTGAGCTCCCATTAGCTCAGGTACACTGTCTCAGTGGGCGAACTCCTCATAGTCCTGACTTCCTTGCTCATATTCTTCTTCTTTCTGCTCTTCAATTGGACCTTGGAAGCTCAGTCTAGTGCTCCGATGTGGGTCTCTGTTTCTGTCTCCATCCGTCGCTGGACAAAGGTTCTATGGTGATATTCAAGATAGTCATCAGTCTGACTACAGGACAAAACCAGTTTAAGCACCCTCTCCTTCACTGTCCAGGGTCATAGCTGGGGTCATCCCTGTGGACTCCTGGGATCCCCTCCAGAGCCAAGCCTCTTGTCAAACCCAAAATGGCTCCCTCAATTAAGTATCTCTTTCCCTACTCCCATGTCTGTCCTTCCTCCATCTCAACTACCCACTCTCTCAAGCTCTCCCCAATCCTCCCCTTCTGCCTCTCCCTCCCCCTTTCCCCTTCTGTAAACCCCCTCATGAGCCCAACTTTTGCCAAGCAATCTTGTCTGCTTCCAATTTCCATATGGATCTATATATGTTTTTCTTTGGGTTCACCTTATTAATTAGCTTCTCTAGGATCATGAACTATAGGCTTAATGTCCTTTGTTTATGGCTAGAATCCATTAATGAGTGAGTACATACCATATTTATATTTTTGGGTCTGGGTTATCTCACTCAGGATAGTGTTTTCTACTTCCATCCATTTGCATGCAAAATTCAAGATGTCACTGTTTTTTTTTGTTTGTTTGTTTGTTTGTTTTTAACCGACAAGTAGTACTCTAATGTGTAGATGTGCCACATTTTCTTTATCCATTCTTCAGTTGAGGGATATCTAGGTTGATTCCAGTTTCTGGCTATTACAAATAATGCTGCTATGAACATAGTTGAACAAATGCTATTGTAGTATGATTGGGTATCTTTTGGGTATATTCCCAAGAGTGGTATTGCTAGATCCTGAGGTAGGTTGACTCCCAGTTTTCTGAGAAACCGTCACACTGATTTCCAAAGTGGTTGGACAAGTTTGCATTCCCACCAGCAATGGATGAGTATTCCCCTTACTCCACATCTTCTTCAGCATAAGCTATCATTGGTGTCTTTGTTTTTAGCCATTCTGACAGGTGTAAGATGATATCTCAAAGTTGTTTTGATTTGCATTTCCCTGACAGCTAAGGAAGTTGAACATGTCCTTAAGCATCTTTTGGCCTTTTGAAATTCTTCAGTTGAGAATTCTCTGTTCAGTTCAGTACCCCGTTTTTAATTGGGTTATTTAGGATTTTAATGTCTAGTTTCTTGAGTTCTTTATATATTTTGGAGATCAGTCCTTTGTCTGATGTGGGGTTGGTGAAGATCTTCTCCCATTCAGTAGGTTGCCTTTTTGGCTTAATGTTTGTGTCCTTTGCTTTACAGAAGCTTCTCAGTCTCAGGAGGTCCCATTAACTCATTGTTGCTCTTATTGTCTGTGCTACTGGGGTTATATGTAGGAAGTGGTCTCCAGTGCCCAGGCATTGCAGGCTACTTCCGACTTTCTCTTCTATCAGGTTCAGAGTGGTCAGATTTATATTGAGGTCTTTAATCCATTGGGATTTAAGTTTTGTGCATGGTGATAGATATGGATTTATTTTCATTCTTCTACAGGTTGACATCCAGTTATGCCAGCACCATTTGTTAAAGATGCTTTCTTTCTTCCTTTTTATAATTTTAGCTTCTTTGTCAAAAATCAGGTGTTCATAGGTTTGTGGATTAATATCCGGGATCCTTGATTTGATTCCATTGGTCAGCATTTCTGTTTTGATGCCAATACCAAGCTATTTTCATTCTGTAGCTCTGTAATAGAGTTTGCTGTCAGGGATGGTAATGCCTTCGGAAGTTTCTTCATTGTATAGGATTGTTTTGGCTATCCTGGAATTTTTTGTTTTTCCATATAATGTTGATAATTGTTCTCTCGAGGTCTGTGAAGAATTTTGTTGGGATTTTGATGGGGATTGCATTGAATCTATAGATTCCCTTTGGTAGAATTGCCACTTTTACTTTGTTGATCCTACCAGTCTAAGAGCATGGGAGATCTTTCCATTTTCTGGTATCCTCTTCAATTTCTTTCTTCAGTGTCTCAAAGTTCTTGTCAAATAGATCTTTCACTTCCTTGGTCAGAGTTACCCCAAGATACTTTATGCTATTCATGGCTATTGTAAAAGGTGATGTTTTTCTGATTTTTCTCTCAGCTTCTTTATCCTTTGTGTATAGGAGAGCTACTGATTTTATTTGAGTTGATCTTGTATCCTGCCACATCGCTGAAGGTATTTATCAGCTGTAGAAGTTCTCTGGTAGAGTTTTTGGAGTCACTTATATACACTATCATATCATCTGCAAATAACAAAAGTTTGATGTCCTCCTTTCCAATCTAAATCCCCTTGATCTCCTTATGTTGTCTTATTGCTATTGCTAGAACTTCAAGCACTATGTTGAAGAGCTATGGAGAGAGTGGACAGCCTTGTTGTGTTCCTGATTTTAGTGGAATTGCTTTGAGTTTCTCTTTATTTAATTTTATGTTAGCTGATGGCTTGCTGTATACTGCATAGTTTCCCAACAACTGGAGATGACTGGGGTTGCTGGGAAATCCTTCTTCCACCTGGAGGCCCCAGGTAGCCAGTTGCACGTTAATAATCACTGAGGGCCATGTGGTGGTGTCACAGGCCTTTAATCCCAGCAATCAGGAAGCAGAGGCAAGCTGATCTCTGTGAATTTTACGCCAGCCTGGTCTACAAGAGCTAGTTCAGGATAGCACGAGATGATTCAAAGAGAAACCCTGTCTCAGAAAAAAAAAATAATCACTGAGGTACAGGGCAGGTGGTGGAGCCTCTGCCTGGGCTTTCAGGCTCCCTTGCTCTGTGCTGCTCCATGCCCAAGGTGACAAACTGACAAGGGCTCCTTACACCCCTGAAAATCTGGTGGGTACCATGGAGCCCTCATCATGTGCTCCTGCCCATTCTCAATTGTATGAACAATTAATTGTGTTTGGGGATTAGTCGACATTCTTTGATTTCAAGCGGTAGAAGCTTAGGGCAGAGAGAAAGAGAGAATGGAGGTGGGCATGAGTGACAGAGGGGACAGAGAAAGGGGAGAGAGAGAGGGTGCTTGGTATCCAGTCCATCATCTTCCTGCTGTAGTCTCCCAAGTGCTGCACTTGCAGGCATGTGCCTCCATGCCTTACTCATCTAGGGCCCTTAATATCATCCAGTTGTTGATCTAAGAATCTTTGTAAACAGCACCTTCACCCTCGGGGCAGCCAATGAGATGGGGACCAATCCCCTCACATGAGAGAGGAGGGAACACTAAAGATGTTGTATTATAGGTGTGTAGACATAAACAGTTTATTCCTACTCTAAGTAGGTTCTTATGTTTCTGGACAAAGGACTCTGGCAATCTCACAAAAGCTAGAAATTTGTCAGACATTACCACGAGACATTCACCAACAAACTGCATACATGTTACAATTTATTTATTCTTTGTGTAAATGGTTGTATGCATATACATATGTGCTATAGTGTGTGTGTATGTGTGTGTGTTTATTGATATGCCCAGATCTGCCAAGCCCCCCAAAAAACAACAAGGAGACGGAGTCCCGTATGTAAAAGCAAAGAGCCTTTATTTTATACAAGTTTGCAAGTCTCACCATGTGTCCAATGTGTTAGAATAATAGGAGAGCCCTGACCTCACTCAGAGTTGGGTTTTTAATAGTAGTGAAGGTGGGGGTGAGGGATTTCTAAGGTTCAGGACCCCTGATTGGCTGACATTTTCTAGTAGTGTCCTGGTGAATGTGTGCTGGCAGGAGATCCTATCTACAATGGTTGGCACCTAAGGAATTTCCTTTGGATGGTCTGTGACTGGGTAATCTCAGTTTGTGGTCTTTCCTGCAAGCAGGAATTGCCTCAGGATAAACTACTGAGACTCAGGCCTCTATTAAGCTTATAATGACTGGGTCCTATTCTGGCAGCTGATAACGATTGCAAGTTAAGAACTCCCTTTGGGTGATCTGTTCCTATTAAGCTTATCATGACTGAGTCCTACATTTACATCAGAGGACAGCTAGTGGAAGTTTGTTCTGCCCTTCTAGTATGTGGGTCCAGGGCACTGAACTCAAGTTCTCAGGATTGACAGCAGGTGGTGGTCTCACTGGCCCTGCACCAATTCTTTAAGGTTTTGGGAATCTCTTAACATTCTCACTTGAGTTACAGGGGAGTGTCAAACTCGTTCTTATCCATTGCAATGGGCAGTGTTGTCTGGGGTTAGGCAAGGGACAGTCTGAAGGTTGTACACTGCCCTGGGGCTCACATGGCTCATTCTCTGTGCCCACAGGAAAGCGCATTTGTCTTGGCGAAGGCATTGCCCGCAACGAATTGTTCCTTTTCTTCACCACCATCCTCCAGAACTTCTCTGTGTCCAGTCCTGTGGCTCCTAAGGACATTGACCTTAGGCCCAAGGAGAGTGGTTTGAACAATGTGGCCCCAACATACCAGATCCGCTTCTTGGCCCGCTGACTGGGATGAGGTGTCTGGGTGTCCCCACTCCCTGTTGAGAATGGCCACATCTTTCTTCCTCTGTGAGACCTGCTGCAAACCAGGCTGTAGGTCACTGCTTAAACCGTTCCACCTTACTGCAGCTTCTGCAAAGCTCCGAGGTGTGTTCTTCTGCCCTGAGTATGGCACTGGAGAAATCAGTCAATGTCTTGCTTGATGTGTGAACAGACTTCCTGAGGCCACATCTCATGCTGAATCAGTCCCCTCTTGCTCCTAACAGCCATAGTCACCATGTATCAGTTTCCGGTGCCCTATGATCTACACCAATGGACTCTGTATTTGGTCTAATTCTATGTCTATGGACTTGCCTAATATGTATGGTTCACATAAACAGAGTCGTGTAGTGTGTGATCTTTGGTGTCTGGCGTCTTCTTACTTCACACAGTATTATCTAGGTTCCTGTGCTTTGCAGGCCACAATCAAACACCTTCATTTGCTTTTATCCTTTCTTAGCATCCTCTCTATGGGCAGAGGCCTCCTCAGTTGATACACCCTGAGCTATGCGATTCTGAACACTGATCTCAGGTTCCCTTACCAATAACTTCATTAGCTTCGATTCTGTAAAATAACAGTAGTGATAGAATTATTCACTCTGTCTGTATATCTGCCTCTATCTGTCTATCTATCTATCTATCTATCTATCTATCTATCTATCTATCTATCTATCTATGTATTTTCTGTCCATCACCCATCATCTATCTATCTATCTATCTATCTATCTATCTATCTATCTATCTATCTATCTATCTATCTATCTATCTATTTTCTGTCCATCAACCATCATCTATCTATCTATCTATCTATCTATCTATCTATCTATCTATCTATCTATCTTCTGTCCATCAACCATCATCTATCTATCCATCATCTATCTATCTATCTATCTATCTATCTATCTATCTATCTATCTATCTATCTATCTATCATCTATCTATGGGATATGTTAGACTGGCCTACAATCCGTGGCAGGTTAGTGCAACAATGACTGTCCAGTAATGGAAAGGCTGAGAATTTGGTAGTTGTCCATGCAAAGGATGTAAGCCTCAGCTGTCCCATATGGTACTGTGGTCCTGGAAGGTGCCTGGAGAGCTGATTGTTTTCAATCTCTGTTGAAATCCAGAAGAATTTGGATTTCATCCCAGCAACAGCAAAGGTTAGATCAACTCGAGTGAAGGCAGGCAGGCAAAATCAACAACTTCTGGCCCTGGTTCCAGTTCAAGTCAGCCTCTCTGTCTTTGCCTCTGTGAATCCAATCTCTAGAGAGAGGTAAAATGTTGTATGAGGTAGAATAGTTCCAGTCTCTCTGTCTGTATCTGTTTCTGTGTCTGTCTCTCTGTCCCTCTCTCTATTCTTTCTCTGCTACTGCCACGTGATCCGTAATAAGTTCCCATAACAAAAGTGAGGCCCAAACTACTAAAGAATTTCAGACAAGGAATAAAATGGTGAGTTTTATCCCATGGCAACCTCACTCCTGCTTATGATTTTATGCATTAATTACTTTGTCTGTCACTGTGGCTAAATGTCAGCTCAGAAGCAAGTGTGAAGGATTTGTTTGGGGTCAGTTTCAAGACAGAAAGGCAGGACAACTGGGCTTCTAGGTTTGCTGTGTGAGCATGTGGCAGGTGAGAGGGGAGAGAAGAGGGTGTGAGGGAAAGGTTCCCTCAAGTAACTTCCTACCAAGTCTGAGAACATCCTAAAATACTATTGGTTAGAGATCAAGCATTCAAACACATGGAGTCATGGGAGGTCCTTCACATTCTAACCACAACACTTTGTGCCTGGATTGACATCATTGTCATAGGAGCGGGTCCTCTATGGGAGTGTCCAGTTTCCTTTTCAGCTCTCCCAGTCTTAGGTGCACTTGCTTGCCCCCTGACATGTTATAATGCAGCAGCAAGTGCCTCACCAGACACCTGTGCGGTGTTCTGGGAAATAACTGCTTCCAGAAGCACAATGTGAAATGTCTCCTAATGATAATGTCCTGCTACCTGGTACTCTGCCTCAGTAGGAAACAGAGTTAGACAGTCTCAGCACCCTGAAGCTCTGAGTCCACAGGGGATAGAGACCCGGTTAGAGAGAGGTGGGTCAGGGGGATGGCCAGAGAGCTTCAGGAGCTGTGAGACAGCCAGGAGGAGGAAGTGATAACCAGTCACAGTGATCAGAGACCCAGAGGCTCCAACTGCTCCTCTGCCAGGCTGGAGCCTCTCTCTCCACCTGACTGCTGAGCCTCACACCTCCTCTCTCCCTACTTCTCCACTTTCTCCCATCAGTGATTGTCACAGGCCAGAGAGTGACATGGGGACTCTGTAGAAATCAACTCAGCCCTGGGGTTGGGGCTATGTACAAACACACAGAGAGTCACACGGTAACATACAACTCATTCCTGTCACTCAAGCCATTAAGAACACACAGAGTACTTCCTTAATATAAGTATGTACTTTAATGTCAATATTCAGGAAGCAGGGGCTGGAGATTCTCTGAGTTTGAGTTTGTATTACAGGATAGCTAGGGCTACACAGAGAAAACCTGTCTTGAAAACAAATCAATAAAGGCACACATCACTAACACACACAAACACACACACACACACACACCTCTAGAGGAACACAGAAAAGCACACACATGCACATTGACATAACAAATATCCCTCTACATATTCAGCACACAACAGCTTCATGCCTCAGTAAATACACAGCAAAACTGAGCTGACAAGGGCACACTCACTCCCAGAAATCAAAATGAATTATTCCCAATGTTCTTTGGTCCTATGTATCTGTTTCGTTTTCCTTGCCAACATGTAAGGAATAAGTAGTGACCAAGTCTCCAGCAGCCAAAACAGGAAGTGTGGGTTCTCAAACTATTGGACAGTGATGAGACAGGAGGCAGGAACAGTTGAAGTTGCTCAACTGGGTGGAGGGCCAGGTTCAGCATAAAAGACTTGCTAGAGTGTGCATTGAAGTACACGGTGCTCAGGCCAGGACTATGGAGCCCAGTGTCTTGCTCCTCCTCACTCTCCTTGTGGGCTTCTTGCTACTTCTGATCAGGGGCCACTCAAAGGCCCATGGCCATCTCCCTCCAGGACCCTGTCCCCTGCCTCTCTTGGGGAACCTCCTGCAGATGGACAGAAGAGGCCTCCTCAACTCCTTCATGCAGGTAAGACATGTACAGGGTCTGTGCCCTATGACGTAGCCCTGTGTTTGTGCCTGGAGATCACTCAGCAGGACAAGCCAGGGGCTTCTTCCACGCAGTATGTTCACGTGGGAAGTTTCCTGAGTGAAAGGTGAGACGCTGATTGGTGATGGATAGTGCACAGATCAACAGGTGTGTCCTTGCTATGTTGGAATTGTGTGGGGCACTGTGCTTAGAGTGTGAAAAGAGTCGAGGTGTTGAGGTGTGCGCCAAGTGTTTACAATTTTCCTATCTGGTGCTTCTTTTTTCCAGAAGAAAAAGAATAATATAAGAGGCATCAAGAGATAAGGTTAGCTTCTGCCAGCACAAGGGATTAGCCTGCTGTGTTTAGGGACAAAGGGGAAGAGAGGCAGATCGGGAGGTGGGGTAGGCAGGGAGAGCTTAACAGTCATAAACACATGGACCGTCTTAGGAGCTGATCCTGGTTCCATCTTAACTAGTCTTCATTAGTGAGATTTTATGTTCAATTACCACTTGTTTATTAATAATCAGTTCACATCCTTGGCTCCAGTTCCCACTGAGAGAGCTGATAGTGTGGCAACAATCCCAACTTCCTGCTACTCTTTAGTTTTTAACAGATTGTCCATCTGGATCAAACGTGTATTCATTTATTTTTATTTAGCTTTNTTATCACCTAAGTAAAGAGGAAGTGCTTTGTAAGCATCTTCTAAAACACCAAAATTGTCAAACATCTCGCTACCTGGACAGTCATCCAAAGTTCTTCTGTATCATTGGGACATCCATCTTCAGCCTACAGGCCCATAGTATCCAGCAGACATTTCTATGAAGCAGGAAATTTCAATGACAGTTCTGCCTATATTGGCAGTTTGTCAGTTACTTTCTTCTGTGTCCTGCAGGATGTCTGGCAGACTCTTTCATGTAGCAGGAACCCTGAAGGATTGTCTCACCTTTAAGCAAATTCAGCAGCAATTTCTCTGTGGGCCCTGCATATACAGTTTATCAAGCAGTCTAGGCAAGAGCAGTTTCTTGCCAAATGGTCAACCAACTCCTTAAGGAGCCTCTTTGATGCCCATCTTTCTTTTGAAGTAGATTGGTGCTACCAGAGACAGATGTATCTCATTGTCATGAAAAATCCTAAATTATTAAACATTTTAAATGCCATAGTCTGATGGTCTCTGAAAGAATCGAAGAATACCTATCTAGCTGAAATATATCTCTATATATCTAGAAAATCTAACATGACTACAAGCTCGACTATTATAGATGATGATCTATTAATCTATATTTCTTAATTATATAGTACATTTTAAATGATATATACAATCACAATACCTTAATCAAGAGCAGAAATATACATATAACAAAATTGACCTTAAGTTTGTATCAATAAACCAAGATCCATGCCAATGCAAATCTCTATAGCAAGTTTTCTTTATTCATTAATGGTAATCACAATATACAGACAGAAACCCCACATCACATATCTATATCTAGATCCATACCTATTTATTTTCTTTTGAGATAAGGCCTTAGGTAGCCCACACTGGCCTCTAACTAGATAGATACCCAAACATGACTACTAATTCCCTGGCCTCTACCTCCCAAGGTTAGGATTAAAGTCATGTTTTTAGAGCTCCACCCCAACTCTATTGTATTGCTATCCTGAGTACAACATCCAACCAATCAGTGCAGACATGCCTACCTGGTGATTTAACCCTTCAATACTTAGCTCCCCAGAAGGGGAAGAGTGGCCAGAGGAGGTGTTCCTATTTACCAATCTGTGTGTGTGTTTCACAGTGTAACAACATCTGCACTGACTAACCACAATCCTGGTGCGATTATGCTTGGCAGCTTCGAGAAAAATACGGAGATGTGTTCACAGTGCACCTGGGACCGAGGCCTGTGGTCATGCTGTGTGGGACAGAGGCCATAAGGGAAGCTCTGGTGGACCAAGCTGAGGCTTTCTCTGGCCGGGGGACAGTTGCTGTGGTTGAATCAATTGTGCAGGGATATGGTGAGATTCGGGACAGGATGAAGTGGAGGATGTGTCCAAGAAGTCTTGTGAGAGGTGGAGCCAAAGATTTGGGGAAGGACTCGGGGTCTTTGAGCTTCCATTGTAACCCACCCATGCTTCCCCTACATTCTTAGGTGTGATCTTTGCCAATGGGGAACGTTGGAAGACCCTTCGGCGATTCTCTCTGGCCACCATGAAGGACTTAGGGATGGGAAAGCGGAGTGTGGAGGAGCAGATTCAGGAGGAAGCCCGATGTCTGGTGGAGGAGCTGCGGAAATCCCAGGGTGAGTCCTGGAGAATGAACATAAAGGAAGATGGTGACACAGGGACCTGAGTGCAGAGCCAAAGAAAGGGAAAGAGACACAAAGGTAGACAGACAGACTCACAGACATACATACAGACAGACAAATGTAGAGAAATAACATTAAATTCAGAAGAGAGATGTGTGTGTGTGTGTGTGTGTGTGTGTGTGTGTGTGTTTGAATAGTAGCTATGGATAAAGTGTGGATAGAGAAATACAGAGATAGAAAAATAAATGTGAGTTTCATATTGTGCATAAATAAACTCAGAGACATAGATTGGCCACAGTGGTCACTTTTGTTTAGAAAAATCAATCCATGGATTAATTTTCTGTGTCACTTGGTATGGTGGTTTACACTGGTCCCCTCAGAACTCAGAAGGCAAGAAAACGTAGTCATCAATTCAAAGACGGTCCTGTCGCATTGTGAGGTCCTGTCTCAAAATCGTGTGTGTGTGTGTGTGTATGTGTGTGTGCAGGTATAGGTAAGTTGTAGAGTATTTCAGCATCATATGCAGTGGGTATGTCATACATGTTTGCAATCCCAGCACTCAGGAGG